AATGACAGCAGATGCTAGTGGAAATCATTAAAAAGTGCAATCGTTGGCCTAAGAGGGTGGTTCATGCCTGTAATCCCAACACTTTGGGAGGTGGAGGCAGGAGGATTGCTTGAGCCCAGGAGTTCGAGACTAGCCTGATCAACATAGTGAGACTTGTCTTTACAAAAAAATTTAAAAATTAGCCAGGCTTAGTGGCTCATGCCTGTAGTACCGGTTAATCATAAGGCTGAGGTGGAAGGATTTTTTGAGCCTGGAAGGTTAAGGCTGCAGTAAGCCAAGACCACACCACTGCACTCCAGCCTGGGTGACAGATCAAAACCCTGACTCAAAATAAATAAATAAATAAAACTAAAATAAAAAGCGTAATAGAGATGGGATCATGTGCAAAGCATTTTAGCAGAACCTTCTGTTTATTTTCTAATTCTCTTCCTTAGAAGAAAATTTAATGTGCAGTTGGGTTTTTTTTTTTAATTTCAATAGATGTAGGGGTACAGATAGTTTTTGATTACATGGATGATTGTATAGTGAAGTCTGGCCTTTTAGTGTAACCGTCGCCCACACAGTATACACTGTACCCAGTAAGTAATTTTTCGTTCCTCATCCCACTCCCACCCTCTGTTCTTGTGCGTCTCCAATGTCCATTATACCACCCTGGGCCGGCCACGGTGGCTCACACCTATAATCCCAGCACTTTGGGAGGCTAAGATAGGCAGATTGCTTGAGCTCAGGAGTTCGAGACCATTATACCACTCTGGTGCCCCTGTGTGCCCACAGCATAGCTTCCACTTATAAGTGAGAATACGCCAGCATTTGCTTTTCTATTCCTGAGTTACTTAGGGTAGTGGCCTCCAGCTCCATGCAAGTTGCTGCAAAAGACATGATTTCATTGTTTATGGTTGAGTAATATTCCATGGTATATACACACACACACACACACACACACACACACACACATATATATATCACGTTTTCTATATTCACTCATTGGTTGACGGGCACTTAGGTTGTGAATTGTGCTGTAATGAGCATACAGGTGCAGGTGTTTTTTGATATAATGCCTTCTTTTCCTTTAGGTGAATGCCCAGCAGCAGGATTGCTAGATCGGTTGGTAGTTCTATTTTCAGTTCATTGAGAAAGCTCCATACTGTTTTCCATAGAGGTTATACTAATTTGCATTCCCATCAACGGTACATAAGCATTCCCTTTTCACTGCATCCATGCTGACAAGCTCTAGGTTCTGATTGCATTATTTATATGTAAGCCCTGACACCCAAGGATCTCAGAGCAGCTGGAGCCCTGGATCCCACCCGGCCAGCCAATGGGCAGTCTTCCTGAGGGTACACAGCTGTAAGACTGTGGACACAGGCACTCCAGGGAAGGAGGAGGTAAGAACTCCTTAGGGCTTGCAACTGCAACATCAGAATTTAGCTGAAATCCTGGGAATTGGATGCTGACTCTTTCCTCACCAGCCCCCATCCTCCAGTCGTGTGGCTCAGGTGATGGGAAGGTCATCCTAATGATAACCGCATGTGGGTTTGAGCTGTGAAAAAATTCCTGGCCCCTTTCTCCTTCTTCCCACCTCCTCTTTCTCCCCTTACACACACATGCAGCTTTCCCTTCCTTTATTTAAGCAAACAACTCTCTCCATGATTAGGTACAACCCCTTCGTATCTAAACAGTCCACAGATGTATGAAGACACAGGAGCTTTCGGCTCCTATTCAGAGCTTGTTCTGGTGCCCCTCTTCTCCAAACCTGCAAAAAGTGACCTCCCTTAGATCTTGCTGACAGCAATTCCTACCTTCTGCTCCCCTAGTAAATCAGCCCAGGTGACAGGCTATCCTCAATGCATCAGGGGTGGGATTTTCCCTCCAAAGACTTCAATTTCCCCTCTCTTTCATGGCTCCTCCCATAACCTGAGTTTGAAACTGCCCAGACATGAGCAAATGGAACAGGATAAGTCCCAGTTATGTTGTCAAATTCCTATATAACTTCAGCTGTCCAGGTAAATACCACCAGTTGGTTAACTCCACCAACCTTTGGTGGGTCTGGGTTTGCTGGCTGGGCACTGGAAAGTTTGGTAAGGGGCACAGTCAAGAATGCTAATAGGCGGGGGGCAGGGGGGGAAGGTTGCCGGCATGGGGGGAGGAAGCAACCTGTGAGTTCCTATAATGAGCACAGTCTAAGGGAAAAGAATCAACCCATAAGTCTGGGACAAGAATGAAATCTAATGGGTGGGTTGAGATCAGACCAACTTTGGGTTTATAAGCATGACTCTGGTTCAGTTTTCTTCCCATTCCAAAGCATGTCAATATTTAGAGTCCCTAGGAGATGAGCTGTGCTGACCCTAGAGATGGTGATGCTGTAGCAGGGGTGAGGACGCACCTGAAAGCATCAGCCATTCTCACTTTCCTGTTAGAGCTCCCCTACTCGAAGTCCGCTCTGCACACTGGCAGTTTCACAGCTTCAGCCTCACCTGGATACCCAAGGAAACCTGGTACGTATATGCTGTGGAATACTACACAGCCATAAAAAAGAACAAAATCATGTTCTTTGCAGTCACATCCAAATGCCACGTTCTTACTTATAAGTGGGAGCAAAATAATGGGTCCACATGGACATAAAGATAGAATAGACTCTGGGGACTCCAAAAAGGGGAAGGGAGAAGAGGGCAAGAACTGGAACTCCTCCTGTTAGATATTATGTTCATTATCTGAGTGACAGGATCAATAGAAGCCCAAATCTCAGCAGCATGCATGATACCCTTGTAACCAAGCTGCACATGCCCCCAAATCCAAAATTCATATTTAAAACTTTTTAAAGATTATTCAAGTGTTAACATGGCCAACCAGTAGTCTGCAAAAAGAATAATTATATAAAGTGATCTTCGGATTAAGAAAAATAAGCTTTTTTGGTATTAAAAGCATTGTGATCATGTGTACGTTAGGTACTTATGGATTATTTGACAAAGCTCCATTGGATAGGCCATGTTTGTCTTTATACAAATAAAACCAGAAAAAAAAAAAAAAAGAGGAAAACAAAAGAAAAGAAATGCAGAATTCAAGCCCACCTCAGATCTACCCAACAGAATCCGCATTTTAACGCTGGTCTTTTAGTGACTCACATACATACTGAAATATGAGAAACACTCCCTGGACAGCCCAATGTCCCATTTGGCTCATTCCCCTGCATTTAACTTGCCTCTATTAACTCATGCCAGGTAAGACGAACTCATGGAGCTTCAGAAAGGACTGTGGCAATATGAAGTGTGGGTGTGGGGAGACGGAGACAACAGAATGACCTCCTGCCTCTCATCCCCAAGCCACACAGGTCCTATGAGAATGTTTTGCAAAGTAAGTGCCCATGGACTGCTGGCATCAGAGAAGTCTAGCGTCTTGGTTCTAGAGCCCCTTTACCAACCGTAACAAACTTTCCCAATTGGGATGTCTGGGGGTGGGAGCTAAGACCTGCATGTCAGCAAGTCCCCCTTGGTGATACTAACATAGGCTGAAATTTCAGAACGATTCTCCCTCTGCCCTTCAGTTCCTGTTGGATGATTAGTGCAGTGTCCCTCCCTCAGGAGCAAAGGTGAATTGCTAGACTTCTGGACCCAAGGTGGAGAGATAACCTTCGAAGTTAAGGCGAACCTAAGTCTGTATCCCTTTGTCTTTTATACCTCCTGCCTAGGGGAGCACCAAAATTGCTCATTAAAGAGGTGTAGGTGCCATGCAGCTTGAGGACAAGCCTGTGGTTCCAAGTGCTGCCAGCATCTCTGAGGTACAAGCCTCAAGGAGGACTGACCCCTGGGTACCCCAAACTCCATGGTGATTCTAGCAGCTGGAGCTGAGATACCTTTGTACACACTTCATCATCCTTTTGCAGACATAAAAAGAAATGGGAAATGGTGATCATGGTAGTGGGCTTCAGTGGAGCGTGACAATGACATCTCCACCCAGCCTAACCAAATGTCCTTTCTTGTTAACCACAGGGGAACTAAAAGGAAAAATATGGACATTTTCCTTGGCTGCGCTAGCATCTCACTATTTCACCAGTCAGGTACATTAGTGTGGGAGAATCTTTCTGGACTATAACATGACTTCGATAGAATGTTCACAAGTTTTCATAACACGCCTTAAAAAAAAAGTTGTATCCCTGTGCTTGGATGTGGATTTGGGTAACTTGGGAATATTTTATCACTTCTGGGTCAAACTGTCAGTTGTCTGTGGTTTGGAGGTGACTTATTGATCAGGGAACTACGTTCACTGAAGTCATCACTGTAATTGTTTGCAGAATTAGAAGTCACATGGAAGAATTCCTTAGGCGAGAAGCACAGAACCTAATATGAAACAGCTTGGGCTGGGCACAGAGCAGCACACTGAGTTCAAAGGGGAAGCTCGGTGGTGAGCGCAGACGTCATACCTACGCAACTGGGAAGGAGGAGCCCCCGGTTCTCATTCCAACCAGGCGAGTGACCTGGAAGTCCCACATTCGCTGGGAAATCCCAGCCATAGCCCCATCTTACGTTAACAGGGTGGATGGATGTGTTCCTCTCCAAGGCCTCCTGTGGGTCTAAGACTCCAGATACAAACAAGTTTTCCAATTCTAGTTGGTAATTCTAACATTGAGTTGAGCCGGAAGGGAAAGAGCATGTTTCCACAAGAAACATGGAAAAGAAATTCAGGCAGGGCTGAAAGCTACATTCTTGTAGAGCAAGCCTTTAACCTTCTTTCTGATCTGAAACACACACAGCCAGGAGAAACACTTCTGGAAGTTATTTCTAGGAGCAGATGGTAAATGGGAGTGTGGGGGCCACCGGTAGCCTGTGGTGCCTCCCAAGTTCTCCTTCAGCCCACCCACACCCAGTTACCATTTGCAAGCTGTTGAACTGGGACCGGAAAGCATCACTGAAGAAACTGAAGAGGAAGAAGACACGTGGGCTTCCCTGGAGAGGGTGAGGAGTGTATGACTGGCTGGGGAAAAAAAGTCACGGCTCACAGTATCGTTGATTAATTGAGTGATTTTAGTCAAGTGAATATTGATACATGGCTGAAAAAGCAGGAAAATAAAATGAACACATACGGGAATTACTACTAACATAGGCGATAACATCAAAACATCTGGTAAAATGCAGTTAAAAAAAAAAAACACAAGTGAACTGGAATGTAAAACATTTTCACAGTATTCAAAGCTTTTGCAAGAGACTTAGGCTCTAAAAGAGGAGTACTACAGAAAGAAACTAGAGGAAACGGGAATTTCATCCGTGTCCTGTGTATCTGCTGGTAACAGGTCAGAATGGTCAGTACGTTATTCCCTGCAGGCTGCCTAGGGTGCTCTCCTGAAACAGATGCCTGAGCCTCCTGCATCTATGAAGTTATGACACAGCAACTGGTTACTTGGAGTCTAATGAGAAAAACAGATTTTAGGTTTGGGAAATGGGATTGCTGTAATTTATACATCCAAATGCAAACTGGAGCTCTGATTGAATTCTGCCCTGGGGAGAACTTGCTGCTAACCCACAGGCACCAAGAGCCAAGTGTTACACAGGATACTTTAAAAATAAAATGTTCTTGGAATCCTCGCCTCCCATGCTATCTTCTAAGATAACGACAAATACTCTTCTAAGCTTTAACTGAGTTCTGCCGAGGACCTCCCAGGACTCTATCCAGAATGATTATTGTAAAGCTTTACAAAACCCACCTTGGCCCTAGTGATAATTGGCAAATCACATGCAGACATCCTTCTCGGAAACCAATGACCAGGCCGATGAGTCTGCACATTGGTTTTGTTAGATACTTTGTGGAGAAAAACAAAGGTTCGTGATAGTGTAGCTCTGGGCCTACAGAGAGCCTCCCTTTTGGTTCTGAAATTGCTGATGTGATAGAGACAAAGCATCTATGGGTCTACAGTCTTCATTAAAGTAACTAATGGAACTCAAAGTCCTAGGTCTCTGAGGCGGTAATAAAATCCACAGCTGTGATTCACATTTCCAATTCATTTGGAGCTCTTTCTGAAGCTGTCACTTCCTACCTGAGTATTCCCATTTAGAGAGCTACACAGCACAGCCACCTGCCCTTCCATACTCTGTGGTCATTGCTAACGTCCCAGATAAACCCCTCCACTAAGGACTCTGCCACCAAGGACTCTGCTGCAGAGAGAGGGCCTGGTTGCATGAGGCACTTTGTCAAAACAGGCAGATACATACGAGCACTGAACACTTGAGTGAAATCAACCAGAACTAAGACCCAGATCCATGCACTCAAGAACTTGCTCTGAATTTGTTTGACAACAGAAAAGTAGACTATTTCTAATTAGCTAATATATATACACATCTTTTTAATCATCCAAAATCACAGGCAAATCACTTAAGGTCCCCAGCACTTTACGATGAAAGGTCAGAGAGAACCCCACAAAAAAAGGATTAAAAGGATAGGATCACTAATTGTGAGGGGTTAATTATATCAGAATAACTCTCAGGTGGGTAACTAGGTGGGCATGCTGATTTCATACTGGAATCTTCAACAGTTAACAGAATCTACCATCCCTTCCTCCAGGTCAGTTCAGGGCCACAGGGGTCACTTCATGGCCTCACTGCAGCATCCTCACTGGGTATAAGCATTGGCCCAGATGGACGATCACAAAGGTCCTCAAAGAGTTGCAGAGAATTAAGAATCCGACTTCGGGGGAAAAATTAATATGAATTGTTTTAGAACTACTTCCGGTACACTGGACAGGAGGGGTAAATTTGCCGAAGTGAACTGGCTTATGTACATCGCTGATAAAACATAAGGGCTTTGAGAAATATCTCAGGGCACTTGGGAAAAGCTGTAGAGATGTTTTGTCTTTGAAACTCTCTCGCTGGATGGGGACACCCCACCCTTGTCAACTTTCCATCTGCAGAAGTGAAAAAAAGTATGTAAAAAGTGCAGGGGGACGGACAGGCAGGCTGTTCCAAATGTCTTTGATCTATAGGCAATCAGGTTCAAAGAATTGTTTCTTTACTGGAAAGGAAACAATGGAAAGCACTGTGAGTTTTGCCTGGGGGGGGGCGTTAGGTTCTAGGGCAACCCAGGACTCTTCAGGAAGGAGGGCCACATGGCTCCGGCTGCACCACCAGGAAAATCCGCCTCCCTTGGCAAAGGCCTGGGGAGAGCTGCTCTTCGGGAAAGCAGCCTGGGACGGATCAGGAGAGCTTGTTCTAGCATAATGTTCAAATGTTCAAAGTAGACTTTTTTAAAACCTTGAAAAATCAGTGGGTGTTTGTCGTTCTTTTAAAAATGTGAAAAGGAACAAGCATGAGATTAGAATCCTAAGCTTTTCAGCCAATTTCACAATTTGCCCCGACTAGCAATTTGCTGGACTGTTCTAAAAATTTTTTTTTATTTGTTTCTTTTTTAACTATGCGTTTTGAAAACTACCAGACATTGCCTTCTCAGCCCCAAAATTGCCGTCTCTCTCAGGTTCACTGTGGTTTCCTTTTTCTGACACAAAGGCTGCCCCTCCACATGTCTGGGGGATAAGGCTGTGCCCTGGGCTCATAGAAACTGAACTTTCAGAGCATCTGAGACTGGCTGATTTGGATCCAAAGACAATCACAAGGAAAGACGGTGGGCAGAGTCGGCGATGCCTCTCCCAGTCCCTTTGCTGTCACTATTACGTAATGGATTTGCACTTCCCCCCCCCCCTCCGCCCCCCGTGCCTATCACTTTCTGGCCTTGACCTTAACTGTAAGTGTGGTATGGGTCTGTTTCCACCTAAAGCAGACAGAAAGAAACGACTCGACCTGAAATCAACATGACTTGCCAGTTATTAGAATGTTCTAGCTGAAAGGCAGAGATCAGCCAGTAGATCAACACCAACAAGTTGGAAAACAGTTTGTTCTGGCTTTCACTTTCTGCCCAGTCCCCCTTTTTGTACTTCAGTGTCTGCGTCGCTGGTGGAAATGGTTTGTCACCTCCTCCTGCGGGGTGGCTGCTGCTCTACCTTGTGGATCTTAAAAGCCTTCCTAATCTAAATGGCCCTTGCCTTACCCGGCCGTGGCTACCCTGGGGTCTGGAGCGTGGCTATGGAGGGAAGGGAGCAGGATGCTGCAAGAACAAGCCGACTGGATTACAATGTCCACTACTGACAGGCGCAGTGCGTGTGTGTGACCCACCGGGTTCCTGGGGCGCTGTCCCCCCGCCCCCCCAACCTGAGGCTCCCTCCCCACCCCGCCCCCGTGAGAATCACTTAAACACCGACTGAAAGGTGGGGCACTCGTGGTTTTTCATTTTCTTCATGAAGTTTTTGAACTCCTTGTTTTTCTTGTCCCACTTGTGGATGGCCGTCAGCAAGTACTGGCTCTTCACCTTGCGGCCCATGATGAGGAAGTGGTGGCTGAGGTTGTCCAGCTGGTGGCAGGGACAGTCGGCCCCATTCTTCAGGTACAGCACGAGCTTCTTCAGGTCCTTCTTCTTGATGGGCCCCAGCTTCAGGGGCTTCTTCTTCTTGGGGACAATCTTTTTGTCTCCGTTTTCTTTTTTCACTTCTTTTATTTTCATCCTCAGTGCTAGAGAGGGAGAGGACAGAAGAAAAGCAGGGAAGAGAAAGCATTTAGAATGCAGCTTTTTTTGATCCTCCAAGTGATTGCATTTTATTATTTTATTGTTTTGCTTACACTTTCTTCTTTTACGTATTTTTTTAAATTTTAGATTCAGGGGCACACATGCAGAGTTGGTTTCATGGGTATACTGCACGATGCTGAGGTTGGAGCTTCTAATAATCCCATCGCACAAGTAGCAAACCCAGTGTCTGCTGCCCTCCCGCATGTCTTTTGGAATTTCCAGTGTTTACTGTAGAACACAGTTTTTCATCTAAAACAATGACCCAAGCGTACTGCTGAAGTGGAGAAGAAAATGAAAGGCAAGTAACAAGTCAAGAAAGAGGCAGTTTGATCCGTAAAATCCAAGGTCTGTAATCCCAGCACTTTGGGAGGCCAAGAAGGGTGAATCACCTGAGGTCAGGAGTTTGAGACCAGCCTGGCCTACAGGGTGAAACGCCATCTCTACTAAAAATACAAAAATTAGCCAGGTGTGGTGGTGGGCACTTATAATCCCAGCTACTCAGGAGGCTGAGGCAGGAGAATCACTTGAACCCAGAGGGTGGATGTTGCAGTGAGCCGAGATCATACCACTGCACTCCAGCCGGAGCAAGACACCATCTCAAAAAAAATAAAATAAAATAAGCCAAGGTCTCAGTTACTCATTCTGCCACTTCTGTGGTGTCCAGTGGTATCTTTGTAATGGCCACTGGTGCCAGAAGATCCTCAAATAAATTTCAAAACTAAATCACATTGCTCTTTTTAAAAACCCATTGACTCAGAATATCATACACTGCTTTAAGAGAAGAAAGTGTCCTATAACCCAATTTACTCCACATGATCTGACGCTATTGATCTCAGCATTCAGAGAAAAAAAATCCTGAGTGTTTTTGTTTTTTGTTGATGTCGTCGTGGAGGCAGGGTCTCACTCGACTGCCCAGGCTTGAGTGCAGTGTCTTAATCTCGGCTCACTGCAGCTTCAAACTCCCAAGCTCAAGCAGTTCTCCCACCTCAGCCTCACAAGTCTCGGTGACGACAGGCACACATCATCACACCCGCCTAAATTTTTTTTAAAGAGATGGGTCTCACTATGTTTCCCAGAACTCCTGGACTCAATAAATTGTCCCTCCTCAGCCTCCTAAAGTGTGGAGATTACAGGCATGAGCCACCATGCGGAGCCATGAGGGTTTCTTTTAGATTGGTTTTGTTTTAAGAGCAAGTTATTAATTTAGTATTTTAACACTGAAAGACCTACAAGTCCTTGAAAGTTGGGTCCTATAAAACGACAGGCAGAACTATGTGTGTGCACTCAGAAAGGGAAAATTCAAAATTGTTTCAAGTTGTCATGCTTGCTGCATTGAACATCAACGTCCAACCACAGCATGGGAAAAATCAGTTTCTACTACTGGGTCTCCACAGCAGTAAGATAGCAGGTACTGCTGATATCAGTCAATTGCTAGTCAACCACAAATCCCCACCAACTGAGGAGACCCACACAAAATCCAAATCTATTTTGACACCCCGGCAGATTAGAGCAAGTCCTGGTGAAGCCCTAATTGAAAAATCCAGGTGATGAGCTCTCTTCAAATCCAATATTGTACCCAGGCTGCTTCTCCTCTCAACCCCCAGCAGAAAGGGAAAACCAGCCCACCCACCAACTCCGCTTTCTCTTTCCTCTGTCCCCATGGATGCTGAATGAACAGTTTTAACCCGTGAGCCACATCCTGTAGTGATGACTCCACAGGGGCTACTGATGAAGATAAATGAGCGTGGACGCGCTCTGTGAAGGAAGCGCACTGAACACATGGTGTCGCTGATACAATCAATTCCCCGATAACACCGGCCAGCCCCAGATATTCCCAAAGGAGCTGGCAATCGCTTTCTAGGTGGCAGTCACCACATAATTTGTCTATCTTCTGAATTCTTTTAAACACAAAATTACGAAGCCCCCTCTTTTTAATAACGCAAGGCTTCCTCCCACACACGCTGAGAAAAGTCTTGAACCTGAGCTCAGTCACAGCGGTTAACAATTGTGAAAGCCTGTGACCGGCCAGGACATGAGCTGGGTATTTTCTGTGCCTTTCCTCATCCTCATCTAACAACTCCAGAAGGAAGGTATCATTATTTTCCCATCTAATAGATGAGAAAACTGAGGCACAGGGGGTTAAGTTGACTTGCCTAAAGTCACTGATCATAAGTTGAAACCTATGTCTAAATGGGCACGTTTAATCTGCATGTTATCCATGCTGACTCCATGTTTCTACAATTCTTTAGACTGAACCCCAAACTTGGAATACTGATTGCATGGACCAAGAAAATCAGGGGGAGGAGCTCAGACCCTCCTCCCAGTTTCACCTACGTTTCAAAATGACTTCACATACACAATGGCAAAAGAGTATTTTCTGGTCGAAAGAGACTTCTCTGGCAAAGGAGAAATTGCATTTGTGAAAGCGTTATTATGTAATATTTTATTTTATTTATTAGAAACAGGGTCCCACTCTGTTGCCCAAGCTGGAGGGTGGTGATGCAGCCTTGAATTCCTGGATTCAAGAGTCCTACAGGTGCATGCCACCATGTCTGGCTAATTTTTTCACTTTCATTTTTTGTAGAGACAGGGTCTTGCTATGTTGCCCAGGCTGGTCTCAAACTTCTGGCCTCTAGCAATCCTCCTGCCTTGGCCTCCCCAAGGGCTGGGATTACAGGTGTGAGCCATGACTGGCCTATTATTTAATAGTGAGTTGACTAGAAAGACATTCCTCTGGCTAACCCAAGAATATGGAAGAGGAGAAAAGAGTGCTAGGAAGAAATCTTTCATGAATGTGTCAAAGTCAGTAAATCAGATGGTCTCCCTCTGCTTTCTTACTGAGGCCCACTATGACCCCAGGCCTGCAATGTCTCACCCCAAGGGCGGCAGAGGGGATGGGAATGAGGCCCCAGTGAGCAGAATTCTCCAGCTGAAAATGAGCACTGCCCTCCCAGGCTACTCCACACTTGCCAGCACACATGAGAGCGCTCTCCCGAGCGAGTGCCTTCTTCACACCCCTCTCCCAGCCTGGGGGCGTCCCAGTCTCCCAATTAGGCTGGACCCCACCCCTACTGAGGACAGAGCACAGTGGTGACCGGCAAGTGGGAGTGCCATCATGGAAAGCAGCCGAAATCCCCCACGGCCTCGCCCCAACATGCCCACGCAGGCCCACTCCTGGTTCAGCTTCCACGGCTGGCTCGCAGATCTTGTACCTGGGGGTTCACACAGGAGAAGACTGCCCCTGCTCTAGTCTGTGGCTCACTCAATGAGAAACGTTCTCAGTGGGGTGGAGTGAGAGACCAGTAAGAAGACTCTCACTGCCCAGGCCTAGGGAAAGGCAGGCAGGCTCCCTCTCTGCCATCCCTCTGCAAAACAGAGCCAGTGGGAATGGTAGAAACCACATCTCAAAGAAAGGCTGCAAAGAGCGCTGCACAGTTTCAAAAGAGTAAGAACAACTCTGCTCCTTTCACAAGACTCTCCAAGATGTGGCTTCAGGTCCTCAGGAAAGCGCCAACCTCCTTCCCAAAGTCTGAGGCTAGAGCCAAGCATTGCTATAAGAGCGTACAAGGACATCACCAGGAGAAATGAATGCATGCTCCAGATGACAAGGCAGAAGCCCTCTTTTCTGCAGAGAAGTGAGCCGTCGTAATACAGTACCCACCACGTGCTGGGCTCTGCAGATGAGAATGGGATATGTCTATCTATGACTCCTTATTTAACACTCCCCGCAACCATGTTAAGAAGGCCTCAATAGGCCAGGCATAGTGGCTCATGCCTGTAATCCCAGCACTTTGGGAGGCCAAGGCATGTGGATTGCCTGAAGTCACAAGTTCGAGACCAGCCTGGAGAAACCCCATTTCTACTAAAAATACAAAATTAGCTGGGCGTGGTGGCACATCCCTGCAATCCCACAATCCCAGCTACTCAGAAGGCTGAGGCAGGAGAATCGCTTGAACCCAGGAGGCAGAGACGGCAGTGAGCCGAGATCGCGCCATTGCACTCCAGACTGGGCAACAGGAGAGAAATTCTCTTTTAAAAAAAAAAAAAAAAAAAAAAAAAAAAAAAAAAAAAAAAGGCATCAGTACTACTTTATTACAATCAAGGAGAAGGACACTCAGGTTAAGTAACAACAGCATGAGGCCACCATTTGTAAGAGACAGAATCAGGATCAGAACCCACACCTAACCCCAAAACCACACTCTCTCCTGCCATACATACCATGACTCGGCTAGAAATGATATTGCTTCAGTGGAAACTATTTCACTCTTCTGATTGTCTTGCCTTTAATCACAACTGAAATCAAAAATTAATGTTCCTTTGCCATGACCATGTAAAGGAATGTAGTTTACATAGGTGGGGGAGCAGCGAGGGACGAGAAATCAGATGATGGGAATGTGTTACACATTAGACTTTACTTCTTGTCTTGCCACTTGGCCCCCTTTCTTTTTCTGAGGTGGGGAGAGCAGGGAAGAAGGCACATATGGCCAGAAATTACTAACATCTTTCCGTCTTTCAAGGGTTTGTTTTCGGGGTGCAGATTACCGACAATGTTGAAGAGATCAAAAGCTGTCCCGGGTGGATTTTCCCTCGTGGGTGTGTGTACAGACCCCCACCACGCCACATCCCAGGTTGTAGGGGTGAGGGTGGGTGCTGGCCCGGGAGCAGCCCCGAGCTGATCACCACCACCCCACGCCACCCCATCCCATCGTGCTCACAGTGCCTGGGTCCCAGCGATGTCGCCCATGGGCTGAATTTGCAATGCAAATGGTGGTGGTGGGCAAACAGGAGAAGCCCCAGAAGGTAACACTGAGGCAACAGCTGGATAGAGTCCTGGGACCTGGGTTCTACTCTGGGCCTCAGTTCTCTGTCTGTAGAGTACAGAGCACCGTCCGACTGCAGGCCTAGTGGACTGACCATCCGAGGAGCCCCTGCTGGGTACTTCTGGGAGACGGCAAAGCTTGTCTCCAG